GCCACGCCCCTCTCTGCTTCCCCATGCTGCCAGGGCTTGGCCACGCCCCTCTCTGCTTCCCCATGGTGCCCATGCTTGGCCACACCCCTCTCTTCTCTGCCTTGTAATTCATTGCATCTATATAGCACCTTTCATCCCAGTGAACCTCAAAACTCTTCACATGTGTGGTGCCACTTCACTGACCACTGAAGTGCACCTGGAGGACGAGTTACCTCGAGTGACTGCAGTAAGCTTCCTGTCATGGCATCAGGCTGCACAGGTGTCTGTGTGGCGTTGGCGCAGCTGGCAGCTGTGCCCTGGTTCTGTACCCTTTCCCAGAAGGAGCGTGAGCGTGCTCGTTACTCCGGCAGGGAGGAGGATTATGAAACGCGGGTAGGTGGCTCTGCTCTCTGCCTGCGTGGGCAGGTCCATTTACAAGAGCACTTTCCTTCAGCTCAGCTGTTCAGTTACAGGATGCTAAAAGGATCCCGAGGAGCTGAATAACCTTCAGCTTGCAGGGACAAGACAAGCTGTGCAATGCTTTATGAAAGCACTGTGCAGTATTTGACACTCAGTGTAGCAGTAATGCACTATTTCAGGAAAACGTGGGTTTTGGTGTTTTTGTTTTTCAGAGATAATGTAGTTAAATATGTGCTCTTGCTTGCTACAAAACACAATGATTTTTCGTAAAACTCTTACCAGGATCTCTGGGAAGGGAAGGCAGTCAAGTTAATGACTGCTTGTGCTGCACACATAGCTGGAGAGTGTGAAATACAGTAGCACTGTCCCTGCTATCCTCTGTGTGCTTCCTGTGGTGAATGTTCTCATGTTGTGATAGACTGACCTGCCCTGACAGTGACCCTGCCCTTCATCTGTCTTTGACCCTGACCTGACAGTGACCTTGCCTTTGCTCTGACCTCTGACCCTGCCCTTGCTCTGTCTCTGACCCTGCCCTTGCTCTGACCTCTGACCCTGACCAGCGTTATCTGTGCTGAAGCTCAGATCCATACAGAATTCCCGCTGCCTCCTGGACGGATAGTTTTGGTCCACAAGAAAATCTCCAGGAAAAGAGAAAATAATTCCTGACTGTTTTTATCTCTCTGGACCTGTAAGCTGTGTTTGTAATGTTAAGTATGTTTTCCAGTTGTTGCCTGTGTGCAGTTTGCCCAAAGGACTGTGCAGGGTCTGTTTGACCGAGTAGGACTGAATGAAGGAAATGGAGGAAATGTATTTAATTGGCAGGAACCTGTCTTTTCACATTTTACCATTTGACACAGTTTTTTTTCTGGTTTCCTCTGTCACTTCCAGCAGGATGAAATTCCCTTCCAGGCAGGTGTACCTTTCAGCCAGGATGCCCAAAGTGAGCTCGAGAGCGCCACAGCGTTCTGCCACAGTGTTACCTCAGGCCATCGAGTCTGAGCAACGGTGCGACTGCAGTGCTGCTGACTCCTCCCCCAGCATCACGAATTCTAAAAATAAAGCGATGTGGCTGACACCTCCCCTGTAGCCATGGTGACCACTGCTTACAGAACGTGATGATCTAATAATCAGTTTGCAGTTTTCAGGCAAACAGCACAAACCAAACAGCACCCGTGATCTCAGTGCACATGTTATAGGAGACTCTGAGCAGCGAACAGGGTTCTGACTGCACACAGCATCAAAGGCACCAAACTTTAAGAGTGACATTTAAAAAAAGGCAAAAATGAATTGGAAATTGTAACAGTAGTTTGCTACACATTTCAAAGAAGTTGAAACCTGTGACTGAATCAGATATTTTTCTCCTTTAAAAAAAATCCTCTTTTTAAAAACAACAGGGTAGGAATGGTCTTATTAAATCTCAGCACAGGCTGACCGATGACTGTCAGACCTGTGACATCAGCCCCTGGCCATGCAGGAGATCGAGGGGTCAGGTGTAAAGGTGACATCACATGCTGGGACGTCAGGCTCGGGGCAAGCACTGCCAGCTCTTTCCGGGAAGAAAGAAAGAAAGAAGGAAAAAAAAATTGTTTGATTTGGCACTTGAGTCAGCGTGGGCAATCAAGGGCTGTAACTGTCCTCACACTGCTAATGTAGCTCAGTAATGAATTGCAATGCCCTGGTGCTTTTGCCATTAAAAATTAATCATATTAGCCCTTCTGGGCAGCCCCCATGATGCATTGCTTCTGTTCCTGGAGTTTGTGCGGCCAATGCAAGATCTTCCAGGAAGCAGCAGTGCATCTGGCTGTCAGCTGGAGTGAGAGAGCTCCCTCGCAGAGCAGGTTCAGCACCAGTGCTGCTGTGTTCAGCCGCACACCGGTGGCATGAAGTTCCCAGTAAACATCAGTCTGGGTGATGTTTCCTGGGAACATCAGAAACATGGTTTTCTGAAGTCCTCCAGGCCTGGCACAGCCTAAGTTTTGTAGCCGGAGCGGTGTTTTCTGTTGGGTAGGACAGAGAGGCTGTGTCAGGTGGCAGGGCTGAAATTCGCATGTGGTGGAAGGCTCTGTTTGGATTTTGTCCAGACCCCGAGTTCAAAAACCTCACCAATAACAGCCTGTTGGGTAGGACTCTCTGTCCTGTGGCGTGATTCGAAGAGTCCCGGGTGCCTGTGGCTGCAGCTCTTGGACTGACTTCAACATAAGAGGAAAGCGGAGAGAGAGATGAGCCATTCAGTCCGTCTGCTTGCTTGTAGCTAATCGATCCCAACCTCTCCTCCAGCCAAAACGTTTTGCGCTGAACAGCATGCAGAGCGATGAAGCCGTGTCCAGACTAATCAGTGGCTGTGAAAAGACAGATTGTAAAGGGCTGGAAACAATAGGAACAAAAATGTCTACTTTAGAGATACTGCTGTTACAATTTAATTGACCTCGACACAGATTAAGCGAACTGTTGAATGCTTTCTGAGTAACTAAAGCCGTCTTGACCCAAATGATAAACGAAGAAATAAACGCATGGTGTTTTTCAAAATTCAGATGTTATCCTGCAGCCTGAGCAGATTTGATGCATTAACATTTAGCTCTATAATTCCATGTTCATATCTAATAAGTATAAAAAACTCACATTGCCTCTTCTCTCCCAGCTCCGATATGCAGTGCAAGCCCAGTCTTGAGCACACAGCCTCCCCAGGGCAGAAAAGCTGTTAATTGGAAATGTGTCAACAGCTTTGGTTCTGCAAAGGAGTACTGTACGCCTTCTAAATGGAGGAGAAAGCCACTGTCCAATTCATAGCCATATTGCACAGCTTGTTCCGAACTTGTGCGGGACCTGCGCTCTGCTCACAGCCCAGCGCGGAGGAGTGTGAATGAGTCTTCGGAAGGGCTCCTGAGGCCGGGGGGGAGGGTGCGCGGTGGAGGGGTCTGACGTCTGCGGACCCTGCTGGCGCACAGGACACTCCACACAGCAGCACCTCCCTCAGGGGGCTCAGTCTGTGCTCAGATATAAACTGGGGAGTCTGGGGGCTCTGGCCCTGCGGCATGCAGCCCAATGACACTGCTGTGTTCACCCAGGTTCAACACCGCGTCATCTGCAGGACTCCCAGAATCCTCCTTAAATAAGGGTCTGTCAGCCAGTTGTCTTTGTTGGATATGATTCATGTTGACTGTTGTGTTCAAGGTCTGGCTTCATAGTTCTCTGGTTCGGCTGCGTTAGTAACGAGCGGATTGGCTGTAATGAGCTGCTCCTGCGACGCTGGGAGCTGTGCTGTCCGAGTGGGATTCTGTGGGAATAACAGGGATGGTGAACCAGGAGCTGCCTCCAGATTCCCGCCTCGGCAGGCTGGCGTCTACAGTGGGGACTTTATCGTCCGTTAGCGAGGTGCTGCTTCTGTGAAGCGGTCGCTGAGCTGTTGGGCGCAGTGCACCCCCGCTCCCCGGGTCTGCTCCTGCACCCCGAGTGTCTCTGCGTGGGGAGGTGGCTCCAGGGAAGAGAAAGCGCAGGGGAGCTTGTTTTCGAGAGATAACGTACAGTATTTCTTCACAGAGCAGTAATACACACACCACATGCTGTAGCTCACTGTCACTGACGCCTTGTTAAAATGATCTTTCACAGCTACTTGTGGATTTCAGTATAATAAACACGGAGACAAAGTCACAGGATATTGTAAAAGTTCAAATTAGAATCAGCAAACTCCTGATTTCTGCGAGAGGAAGTGTTTGATCACTTCAGCCCCCGTGGTGCAGCAGGAAAGGGGAGAAAGGGGATGTCCGATCAGTGTCGTCTGGTTCCTCACTCATACTGCCAGCCTGCAGGCACTAGGCCACAGCTCACACACACGCGCACGCGCACGCGCACGCGCACGCGCACACGCACGCGCACACGCACACGCACACGCACACGCACACGCACACGCACACGCACACACACACACACACGCACACACACACACACACACACACACACACACGGTGGCGCTGAGGTGCAGCACACAGAGGATGCCCTGGCCTTAGGGGTGCTTGGTCAACTGTGCCCTGCAGCCTGGGGTGTCCTGGTGACCAGCTGGAGCAGACGACAGCTGCACTCTATGGCCCGGCAGTGCCTGTGGCAGGTTTCCCCCCCGGACAGCTGCAGTCCTGCCCCGCTGCTGTCGGTTGGCAGGCTGGGTGATTGTTTTCTGATTCCGGACAGGATAGATTTGAAATGACCTGTTTGCTTGTGAGGCTCAAACTGGCAGGATTGTTTATTGCATCACTGAAGCAAATAAGTAGGAAGAGGAGAATTTCACAGAAAGGTTTGTGTCCCCCATCTAATTTGTATTTAAATGGAAGGCTGTTAATGACATACTTGAATTGCATGGAATACAGAGGGATGCTCTCGAGCTGCTTTCGAAAGGAGAGAACAAATTAAAATACCACAGGGGAGGTGAAGTCAAATCCACGCTCTCACGGGGAGTTTCTGTTGACTCCCAAGTTGCTCTGCACACATCCCTCTTTCAGAATAGATTCTGTCTTTAAAAAATCCCAATTCGTCTTCTTCTGCAAGTGTCATGTTCTGGTGCTTCGGACTTTGGCAGAAAAAATTCCTGATTCAGGTATTGAAGCTCCTGTGAAGCTGAATCTTTTCCTTGCTTCTGGAATCTCTCTTTTGGAAGAAACCAAATCTTGGAAACTGAGTTTTCAGACTGATTGTAGGTCAAACAGCCAGACAGAGTCTCTCTATGAAGCTGGATCTGCATAAGAAAAACACAGCAAAAGCCTTATATCATTGCATTGGAATATCGCTGGATTTGATTTTTCTGTTCTGACCTGACAGGCAGGCTCAAAGTGGAAGGATGCAGGCTGAAGGCTCCGCAGTGCCGGTCTGTCTGTTTCAGCCAGAGTGCAGTCTTGACTTGTGAACGGCTTCACACGGCGGCTGGCTCTGTGTTCTCCTCAGAGGCTCAGGCGCAGGAGCGGACGAGTCCGCGAGGGCCTGGCTGTGTCGCTCTGAGTAAACGGCAGGCTGTCAGCTGTGCTGCTCTGTCTGCACCAAGGAAAGCCTTGCTGACACACTGAGATCGTAATTGAAAGGGCTGAGCAGAGTCCTGCCAATATGTCATGGGAGCGGTGTCCTCTTATAAAGAGCACTTAATGTGCCCGACACGTTTCAGAGCCACTCGCAGAAGGCAAGCACAGAGCTCTGCCTGCTCTCAGATCCTGGATGGTGCACAATGCAAACGCAGGTTGTCTGCACAGACACCTCATTTCAGACCCACATTCATCATAGATGCATTTTACACTGTGAGAGATGCCTTAGTGCTGTGTAATGGTACAGTCCTGGAACGGATGAACTGGTTTTTACATTAACATGTTTGCTTTGTTTCAATAACCTAAAATCCTGGTATGCGATATGATGCATACTGTTCAGAGCGGGTGGTGTAATGCTTGCCCACTGCGCTGTGGTAACAGGGTGGGCTGAGGCGAGTGTGGAGTCGGTCTCATCAGCTCTTCCCTGCCCTGCTGAGAGCAGGTCTGCAGAGGCGGGGCTGCGCTGTGGAGCAAGGAGGCCGCCGGTCCTGCTGTCCTCTCTCTGAGGGAAGAGGGAGGGCGTGCAGGACTGTCGGAGTCCTGTGTGGGTTGAATGTGGAGCCCAGAGACACTGAGCACATAAACGACCAGCACAAGCTCTGTGTGCGAGCGGACGAGGGAGAGGGGTGCGCTAGTCCACATGTGTTGACAGAGCTGTCGTCTCTTTCAGGTGAAGAAGCTGACAAAATACCTGGACCCCCAGGCGCTGGGCAGGATCAACTTCAGGGACTTCTGCCACGGGGTGTTCGCTATCAAAGGTAAAGGAGGCGCCCTGTCCGCAGCTGTGGCTGTGGGGAGCAGGAAGAGCACATCTGGCCGCTGCTTGGCTGCTGGCAGGGACGTGAGCAGCTGTTTCTCAAGGGATCCCAGCGCAGCGGGTCGCTTGTTCCTCGCTTCTACAGCCCCCCGCGATTTGGCGGGATGAAGGTGTTGAGGAATCAGCGTGTTAGCTGGTGGCTGGAAGGGTTGATGTGTTTTTGAGGGTGTCTGAGTCGTGCACCTGCAGTAATCCTGCAGTCGGTGCTGTCGGTGCCAGTGTTTCTCTCCAGTTTGTCAGTCTGGGCTGCCGGGTTACTCAGGATAGTGGTTAGTTAGGCAGCAGATGCACATGGCTTCTCTGACGAGGGTGTACCGTCTGGTGGTGCTGGACAGTGGTCACTGAAGCTGCCCCTCCTCGTCTCGAGCGTTACGCCTGCATCTTCTGTTCGGACTCTGAGTTGGGTGGGTGTCTCCTACGTGAGAACCAGTCGATCGAAATTCTGAAATATCCCCACCAGCAGAAACTCTTCTTTTTTCCAGCTCTCCCAGGATAGCCTGATGCTGAAGCACTTCACTCAGTCAGGTCACACTCAGAAACTAGAACTGTTTTTGCTGAGTGCCTGGATAACGGGAGCTCTAATTATTCTGCAAAAAAAACATGTATATCAAAGGACACAAGGACCTTCCGCTTAATTAATTCCTGGCGCGCGCTGTGAGGAGCCCTGGCGCTCCTTGAGAGGCTGTCCTCCAGGAGCCACGTGAAAAGCTTCTGATAAACAACCTGATTGTTACATGCTTAGGGAGAGGCACTTGAGGAGGCACTTGCAAGACCTATTTCAAAAAGAGAGGGCAGAATCCCAGCAGGTGCAATCTAGTTAAGCTATCCAGTCTGTCCCACGGGTCTCCGAACCTATTGAATAGGCCCGTGACTGCGCAGCTCCGGTGGTGTGATGGTCCTGCGGTGGGTTTGAGCAGCGCTCCAGGCAGACAGGCTTGGACCTGGACCTGCTCCTCATGGATCAGGGAAGTGACTCGGACGTCCACTGCATTGCAGTCTGAGCCATTTCAGCTTTCAGACGTTACTGGACTGCTGTGCGGAAGCTGGATAGTTCAAGCTTGCTAACCTCTGTTCACAGTTTTTTTGTGTCAGTGGACAAGCGAAGTCTTGATTTTTTTGCTTAATAGGAAGAATTTTGTAGAAGCTCCCTTCTCCTTTCTCCAGTCTGCCGCCCTCTGGGGCTCCTTCAGCACACTGTGCGACAGGAGATGGCTGATCACTGCCTACTTCCAGCCCAGCACGCAATAACTCTCTCCAGCTCACTGTCTGGAGCTCTTCCACGCATGACCAAGAGGGGCAGCTCTTTCTACCCCAGTGTCAGTTCTCTGTTAGCTGTGCGCGGGTCACTCGGGCGCTGCGGAGTTCAGGGAGGGAGCACAGCGGAGGGTCTGCTCATGTACTGGTGTCCAGTCTGGCTGCCTGGGGTGGCTGTGAAGCTGGCACCCAGGGGCACACCCGGGCTCCCCGCTGGGGACTTGCGCCGCCCGGCAGGGCTGTCGTCTCCATGTGCGTTCATCTGGTTGTGATTATGAATAACAAAATAGTCCCACTAGAGCTCCAGTCAAAACTCTAGATGAGCAAGAGAATACGTCCACTCCTACTCCTGTTTTCCTGTCTACTCCTATTGCTCTTACAACCACAAACTCAGACATTGAGTGTGAAGTGGAGGAAGCAAATTCCTTCTTCGTGAGTCTTTGTTTCTGTCCATGTCGGTCTTGTGGAGGAGGTGGCGATTGCCAGTGATGGCTGGCTGGACCAGAGGTTTAATGGTTCCATAACGAAGGGTGGCTCAGAGCAGTGACCCCGCGCTCCCTCTCCTCCCACAGGCTGCGAGGAGATCCTGAAGAATGCTCTAGGTGCCAGGAGCGCGGGCTGCCGTCCCTGCGAGATGGACAATGGTTATTACTACCAGGTAAGGCGCTGACCTCAGAGTCTTCTCTTCCTGTGTGCTGTTGCTCTGGAACCCTGGGAAGGTGCGGTGGGCTCCCATCATGCCCTGTATGGTTCTGAGCTGCTGTTGTCTGCGTGTCTCTGCTGGATGAGCTTCCTTCAAGGGCTGGGGATCGCGCCTGCTGGAGTGCTGTTGTGCTGTTCTCACTGTGCTACAGTAATGAGTGACGTCGGGCACTGCAGTAAGTCAGGAACGGAGCCTCAGAGCGGGGACAGCAGAGAGTACCGGTCAGAGCTCGGAACTCATAACAGATGGGGGGTGGCATTGCTGGGGTACCCCTGCGATGCTCTAGTGTCCTGCCAGGGGGGGTAATGCCCTCTCGGTTGGTTTAAACCTCCAGACCCCAGGAGGGCGGCTGCAGTTTGTTTTCCTCACATGGGTGCAAAGGGCTCTCGGCTCGCTGTCTGCACTCTGACACCTTGCACAGGTGAGCAGACCAGCAACAGGCCCCAGCCGGCTGCTCTTTCTGAAGGCCGACAGGCCGCGGGGCAGGCGTGTGTGAGCCTGACGGCTGTGTGTGGTCAGGGACACAGGCCCCTCCACCAGCATCAGGGCTCCTAATCATAACTGCGGCTGTTGTTATCTGTGCAGTGGGATTTTACCAGAGGCACCGAGCTGCCACTACTGTTCCTCCTGGTTGCCCTTGTGTCGTGTGCCTCAAAACCGCTACGAGCCTCTTCCAGCATCCAGTGTTCAGGCAGTGTAGTCACAGCCCAGCGGCCAGTGTTCAGGCAGTCTATTCACAGCTCAGTGTCCAGGGTCCAGTGTTCAAGCAGTCTAGTCACAGCCCAGCGCCCAGTGTCCAGACAGTCTAGTCACAGCCCCGTGTCCAGTGTTCAGGCAGTCTAATCACAGCCCAGCTTCGAGTGTCCAGTGTCCAGCCAGACTAGTCACAGCCCAGTGCCCAGTGTTCAGCCAGTGTAGTGTTTAGCCCAGTGTCCAAGTCTTTATTTTCCTTGTACCCAGCAGCAGAAATATTTTGTCTGTTGGCAGGATTTTCGAATGGTGACTTATGGCAAAGGTAAGATCTTATGTCGGGAGCAAGGCATTATCACAGCCTGTTCTCACAGCCACCTGAGCCCCTGGCAGTTTGTATCAGTCTAACCAAGGACAAGCTGAGCTGGAAGATGTTCAAGTAGGGAGCTGTGTCAGCACGCGCAGGCTTCAAAGGAACAAGTGACAGATTATTCCCTGATGAAAAGAGAAGAAAAGAAACACAAAGTTTCGGCTGTGGAGCCTTTTTTCGGGTGTGGGACCTTCTTGTTCCTGAGCTGGAAGATGTCTGCCTTCTCCCTCTTGGCAAGCAGGCTGTTGGGGAGTGTGACCCCATACAGAGCAGCGCAGCACAGCACAGCTCGGCCTCTCTCCTGGCACCTAATGGGACCTGGTTCTGGACACAAAAAGACGAAATCCAAGAGCAAGTCGAAACGTCTCATTGTCTGGACAGACCTACATTAATCTTGTGTCAGCATGTGGAGATGGTTTTTAAAGGATCAAAAAAGCATCAGGCTGCATGAAACTTTCTGTCTCATGTGGAATCCTGCTTTCAAAGCTTCTTGGTGAAAGGTTTGTAGTTCTCCCAGAATCCCTTTAGCCATGAGAGTTGTCCTGTCGTGACATGGAATGAGGTTTTGACCACTGTCATGTCCTAATCCTTCAGCGCAGTCAGCTGTCCGCTTGCTGCTAACAGGCAGGTCTCCTGACAGGGCTCCTCCTCGGGTCGCAGGTCGCGGAGCTGTAGCTCGGGGGGGAGTGAGGGCCCGAGCGGGGATCGGAGAGGACCATGCAGGTCTCAGCGCTGCACCCCTGGACTGAACCTGCCACGCTGATCACCCTGGTCTCACCGTGCGCTGGGGCTCCTGCCCCTCGGCGCCGCCCGTCTGCAGCTCCATTAGCTCACTCCTCCCTGACCGAGCGCCTGTACTGATGGCCAGCGGGGCTGTTCGACTTGTGGGGTACACGTTCAGCTTTCTGGGGGTTCTCCGAATCACAACAGGCTCGTGAATGAGGATTAGGACAAGCTGTTGTCGCGCAGGAATAATTATATTTTACCAGTGCAAAAGTTATTTCAATGTAAATACATCACACTTTTAATAGGCTTTTCTATATTCAGTTCAGTTCACTTTATTGTCATATTGCACAAGTGCAATGAAATGCTTATTTGCATGTTTGCTCCAATACAAAGACATTAAAACAATCACCAAAAACATATAAACACAGAACAGCAGCAGCAACAACAGGTTAAATAACATACAACTTAAAACACATGAGTGTGAGCCAGTGGTAGGAGTAGAGTTCAGTCATCTGACAGCTTGTGGGAAGAAACTTCATTAAAAAGTGAGAATTACAGCCCTAAGTGCTTGCAGTCTTGATTAATTAATCAATTGCTTACACTTATTTCTGGACACTCCACTCAAAGCGCTTTGCAGGTAATGGGGATCCCCTCCCCCAGCACCCCCCAGTGTGCAGCCCCACCTGGATGATGGGCCAGTCTGCTCCCCACACACCAGCTCTCAGTGTGGAGGAGAGCACACTTGATTCAGCGTGGCAGTAAATATTTTGTGTACTTAAGACTTGTCAGTTTCACCTCAAAGGTTTAGTAATCTGATTTACAGAAGCTGAGCACAAACTCATTAAAAAGAAGACTCACTGGTCAGGAAGAGAGAAATAAAGTGCTGAGGGTTGTTTAATCCTGGACTCTGAATGCCCACTAGATGTCAGTGTTTAACAAGAAATATACAATAAGACTGCACAGCTGATGGAGTCATAATGCTCACAGACTGTTCAGAGTCATTTTAAAAATCAAATTGAGTTACCTGTTATTGAGACATCAGTTCAGTATTAATAAATATTATGATGAATAACTCTGCTGAAGACCATGCTGTACACAGGGGGCCAGTGAGCCTCTCATATTTCTGGAGCCCAAATTCATTAGAGACTCTGTAACTAAAGACTTTTATGTTATTACAGCTGAGCAAAAGGATGTAAGAGGATATCATAAGCAGAGACTAATTTGAATTGTTTGTAGTAATAGCGTCTCAAATGTTTCCCAAGAGCACCTGCATCTGAGCTCTGAAAGGAAGTTACAACACAGTTTCTTATGAAATTACAGTCCTAAGATACATGTAAGCTGTTGTGCATAACTGGTGTCTGGTAGTCATTTTCTATATTTTTCATAATCTTGAAGTGGGACATACAGTATATATCAGCACATGTTCAAGGTTATGGTGTTAGTAAGTAATATGTATGGAATAATCACTGGAATATGTTAACTTAACTGTCTGAAGGTCTGATATACATATGATATATAATTTTACTTTCTCAGTGTTTACCATTTTAGATTTATAGATGATCTTCTTGCTATTGGCAATATTAAGCTCTATACAGAATCTAGATCAGTGATAGAAATCAGGATGAGCTGTGGTTCTCATGCAGATTCCTGCAACCCAGTTACACCATTTAACCTTTATCTCTAATATAACTACACACATTACCTTGAAGGCAGTTTTTAAAATTAATATTTAGAGAGGAACTTTATCAAAAGCCTTATGACACTCTAAATAAACCATTTATATCTACCACATTATAGAGAGGTGAAAAACAACCTGCAAGGAGAAAATGTCTTACAAAACACCAAAAACCAAACAACAGATGGAAACGGTAAAGACTTGGGCTCAAGGAGATGATGTACAGTATTGCTTACTGACCAAACTCTGTGAGTGGTGTCATTACGAATGGCTTTATGGCAATAAGTACTGTAAGAGGGCTCTCCTTTCCCTGCCCTGCCCCTGACTGGACCATGCATGAGAGAACTGAGGCTTTGGACTGAGCCAGCCTGGGCCAGGACACTCATTCACAGGACAGTGACCGCTCCGCTGCACACTGCAGAACAGACTCAGCTAGAGAGTGACAGCTCAGACTGCGACAGAGGAAAGCTTTCAATATTCATGAGGACTGAAAGAAGATCCTGCTGCATGTGGACAAGCAGGCACACCTGTGTGTAGAGTATCACACTTGGGGATCTTGAATCCTCAGCTGTCGAAGACTTACATTGAGTCTGCTGGACTTCGGGGAGTTAGAGTAAGTTGCGGACATATTACTGTTGCTTAAGGACCAGACTTTTGATTTTTTTTTCATCTCAAAGTTGACAGCGCAGGCAAGTTCTGTAGCCCTTCAGGAGGCCAGGGCACGGGGTCATCGATCCCTTCGTCCTTCCCTGGCCTGAGTTGGCAGCAGCTGCTTCGTTAGACAGGTGCAGCTCCAGGGAGAGGAGGTCAGAAAAACTGCTCCTTTAAAGGCAGTCTTCTGCACAGATGGGCACCAGTGCCTTATTCAGCACAGAGCCACAGAGGTTTAAAACAGCCCAGTCATTTCCTTCCCACAGCAGGAGAGTTATGGAAATGAGGAGGGGCTGTTTTCGTTGCTGTACGGGTAAACAGCACCTCTGATATTGACGTTAATCAGACCTGAAGGGAGGGATGAATTATTCATCAGCAGTGAAGAGCCGTTTTCTCTGTGTGTGTTAATCTGCAGGGGAATCTGGCTTCAGCAGGGGCCTCATTAACTACTGCAGACATGCTGGGCATGAGTTAGCAGGCTGGATATCAGTCTGATCCACTTGCTTTCCAATGAGAATTAAAACCTGGGACACTTTAACACCGAGGTGCAACGAAAAGAAAACATTGTATGGAAGAGTTTTTTGCTAGTCTAAACTGCTGAGATCTGTTGTTTCCAGGGCTGTTCTCAGGGAGGGCTGCACCATTACTCTGTTGTGTGTCAGCTGCTGTAGGTGCTGAGAGACCCCAGTTCGTTTGTTTGGTGGGACGTCCTTCTGTAGAATGTAGAGGCTCGTCATTTTACCTGAAGACGCAGAAGTATAACATTGAACTTACACAGCACATATCTTGTATACAGAGGCCGGATCTTCCTGTTGGTACTTTAGACACACACACACTGTGTGT